GTACCCGTATTACACGACCTTGCCACAGGATATTTACAACTGCATTGTACACACAGCAATGACTAAAGAATTACGGCCTAGCGTGCAGAGCTACAATCAAGCAATCAGGCCTCCACTTGAAGATGAAAGGGAAACTGAGAGCATGATCTACTTTATTACTAATCCAGGTAATTATCTTTCGTCTTGGGAGCACTAATAGAAAGACTAATTTTCTTCCCAAATGATGGCCTTTATATATCAAAGAAGGGGTTTAAATTGTTTAAAGTTTTGTACCCTGTCCCGAAACTGTAGAAACTGAAGTCCACACCCTTGCTCCCAATTAATTTTACTATTCCTCATCAGAGTAGAGACTCAGGAAGAGGTCAAACATAGTTTAAAGACATACATCTATTGAATGTCTAATATCAGAAATACTTTAATTTACAGCACCAGTGGCTCGTTTTTTTTGACAGTAGGCTGACTGGAAAGGCGTCCAGCTAGGACCAAGGGATTTGAACCCTGGTGAGCCTGAGGTCATGCACGCTAACCACTGGGGGACCAAAGCATGCCCCAAACATCCTTTATTTTCACTCAGTCATACTGACACAAAATACTTTGCAATAATAAAGCACAGGACAGATAAACAGAGAGCAAAGTCCTGTTAGTATGTGTCAAGAAGATCCAGCACTATAATTCTAGAGCTCTAATTAGTGATACAGTTGTCCTTTAGCTCCTTTACACCAATTTACTTTTATGTATTGGTATATTTCAGATGTTTGTTTGCATTATGCTTTGCAACACTCCCTCCTACTCAGCATGCCTGGAGCAAACACTTATTGGGGAGAAACCTCGAGCAGAAGCTAGGTGTACCTTCTCAGGGTTTGAGTAGACAGAGGCCTCTCACACAAAGAAAAACCTCCATGTTTTGTATGGGGACTTTTCATTGACATCAATTGAATCATATGACCTAACCTAGACCTTTACTCTAACCTAACCTTAACCATTACCAGCATACCTCTAACTCACAAGTACCTGGAAGTCCCCTTAGTACAGTAAAAGTACAATTTTTTGTCATAGGTCATAAACAGGTCTTTTAAATGGCTGTTGATGAATTTTGCCCCAGTCATCTTTGCAGGGCAACATTCATTTAGTCACAATGGGGTGTTTTTGTGCATGAGTTACAGTTCATACCAAAGTATCTCCACCAGATTTAAATCCAGAAATTGACTTTGGATTTCTTTTCTTTAGCTATTCTAAGGTGCAGTGTAAATTCTCAGTCATTTGCCAACCACAATAGATGATTGAATTGTAAGCAAACAGACTTTGCTCTGTTTTTCTAAAAATGTTTCAACACCTATCCAAGGATCTTTTCCAATTCTGTCAGCTCGCACTACAGCAACAGTACCCTGCAAAAATATTGTTTAGTTTTTTTCCGTCGGATTGGTGACATATTTCCACCCTAGGGCACAAAAAGGTTTCACCCAGTGACTCTCGTAAAAAGTCCTACATGCGCAGTAGCCCCTCTGCAGTACAGAAGTATAGTAGAGCTCTGGGTGGATCAAAGCTACGCCCTGAGGTGACAGGAACTGTCATAACAGTTGTTGCTCAGGTGATTGACATGTCGAGTCAATCGAGAGAGGGAGGCAAACTTACCAAGAGGTGAAACTGTTTGGACCTGATCAGCTTAAGATCAACATTAATCAGCATTCCAAAAGACAGATGGAGACGGTACACTCTGGCCGTTTCTAATTATGTGTACCTGTGCGTTTTCATGTGCTTGTGTACTTGAAAAATGAGGTCAGCCTCAGCCATAGTATTGTTCCAATTCACAAGAACAAGAAGCCGAGAACAGACAAAGTCCCTGGATGTTCTTCTCACCCCTCCCTCTTTACCGAGCATGCATCAGAGCAGACTTGTCCGTTCTTGAGATTGAAACATTATTTGAGGCGAGAACATTATACTTTTAAGCTCTATTATATTGCCCATTTACTGATTTAGTGCATAATTTAAAAAAAGTTCTGATGTTGAGAGGACCGCGTCAACCAGCGGACCTCGGAGTCTAACTGCAGCCAGGGCTAACGTTAGCCTGTCTGCAGCAGCCCTCTCTCGGCATAGCCGTTTGTAAAGTACCACTGGCTCTGATGCCGATTTTTTATTTTTATTTGGCAAAATGTAAACTTTTTGTGTTATTATTATTCCCCCAGCCCTGCGATGGACTGGCGACCTGTCCAGGGTGTACCCCGCCTCTCGCCCATTGACTGCTGGAGATAGGCACCAGCACCCCTCGCGACCCCACTCGGGACAAGCGCGTAAAGAAAATGGATGGATGGATTATTCCCCTATTAAGTGAAAAAAGGTAGAATTTATTACTATCTTGAGACTATTAATAGCAGGAGGTGAAATGCTGCTCGAGACGACCCGAGCGTGAGGTGAAGTCAAACGGACGCTTCTCTTCCAATTGACCCATGTTTATGCTGCGTGCTCCCGTTCTCCCCAAGTCCACACTTTACTGTGTTCTTCTCAAGAACATACTTTTCAAGGACACAAGTCTGTACTCGCATTCTTGTGAATTGAAAAATGGCCTACTGCATTTCTTTTTCCATGACCTGGTATAGCTACAAGGCTTGGTAATTGCATGAAGCGAGGCTAACACTTTATTCAGCTGCCTTGACTGCCTCCATCCATTTCAAACATCAGGATCTGACCCAGCATGGATAAAGACAGGTATGACTGATTTAAAGCAGTTTTTAGAAAAGGTACAAAAGCATGAACAATCTGGGATTCACATGGAAAATAATATAAGAGTGTACTTTTTCTAGATGTTTATTAATTTGCATAGTTGCTCTTAAATAAACACATTCTCAGAAAACAAATAGTTTTTATATATATATTAAAATTTATTATGCTGACTAATAGCTTCTGCATTATTAACCTGGTACATTATTTTTTTAGGTTTGTGACATAATATTTGACCATGCAAAACACAGATTTTCCCTCATAAAGCCTCAGAAGGGCAGGATTTATGGACAAAAAGTAAACCTATACATAAAACTATGTTTTATTTCTATAAACTGTTTTTATTATGTTTTTGTTGTTCTTATTCACATAAATATACTGACTTTATCACTTAAGACAGAGAAGACAAATGATTATAGTTTTACTATTCTATAACCGGAAGTCAGCTTTTTTATAATAGGGATATGTCATGCAACTGTAGAATGAATTGCTTGATTTCTTGAAGGTTTGAAATAATTAAATGTGTAATTGATTATCTTTCATTGCTACAAGAAACCTTGCATTTCCACATCTCAGCATATTCAAAATCCTTCTAAAAAGCATCTAAGGGTCAACAGGAGTGTAACAGCGTGAGACACTGAGCTAAATCTCCAGACCTTAAATGTGTTTATAAAAATAAACTGCATATATCAATGCATATCCAGTGTATTGGTTAATTTATGCAAACTGCTTTCTTCAAACTAACAAATCTAAATGATCAACATTTAAATAATAAACTTTTTGTTTGTAATGAAGAAATTTTTTATCTAATAGTTATCTTATTTAAAACATAATTCACACACTCTCTGTTTCAACTTAACTCATCCAGAGTTCAACGGATGTCAGACAAACAAAAGCGGTTCACTTCATGCTCCCTTTCATGGCAAGAAAAATAACTTTATTTGAAAAAGTAAATAGCTGTCTCTATTTGTGTTTCTCGTTCTAAACTAATGTGCATTTTTTTTTTTTTTTTTCTGCCTCTTCCTTTTCGTCTCCAACCCAGTTTCTTTGCTGTCTGCTGCATTAAAGTAAATAGGTAATTAAACTATGCCTTGGGGGCAAACAGCCACACATAGCAGCCCCAAGGCTTGCCCACAGGCTCAGAGGAAAGACAAAAGGAGAGTGAGGCCTGTAAGTCATCAAACACTTTACAAAGCCACCTGTATATCCACCGCCATGTTCTGTCAAATGTGCAGAATAACAACTGCTTTTACTGAGACTATCCCTGATACTTGTGCTGATTTCCTCACATTATAAGTTTCAACCTTGTATCTTATTGGGATTTTAAGTGTTTATCAACACAAGGTTTTGTGTAGAAGGTGAAAAGATTTTCAACATATTTATAAATCCATCAAATGTGGAATTTCTAGCACCTCTAAATTTTAGAATATTTTGAAAAAAAGCTCAATGTTATAAAAAAGTTGAACTCATATATTGATTCATTACACATAGAGTGACATTTTTCAGTATTTTCTACTTTTGATTTTGCTGATTATGCCTTAGAAATAATGAAAACCCAAAATTCAATGAGTTAGAACATTAGAATATAACTTAAGATGATAAAAAAGCGAACATTTTAATAGAAATGTCAGGCTTCTAAAAGTGATGTTCTTTTCTATGGATTCAATTTTGCTTACACCTCTTTCCATGGATTAATGCATCACGGCGTCCAGCATACTGCCATGCTGAGGTGTAATAATGACAGTACGCTCATGGATTCCCTCTGCTGTTCAGATCAAGACAGCTTAATGGCTGATCAACCACAGTAAATGGTCATTCAACCAGCTTTTGGTACATTTGCGAGAATGACCAGGTGTCAGGTTCTGCTTGACAATGAAATCAGATTTCCAGAAAGCTTGTATTTTCCTCCTTAGTCCCGTTTCAGGAACGTCTCTACATCAGAAATACATTTGTAGCTCAGATCTAAGACAGATCCATCTGTAGTGGCACTTGATTCACTGATTCCAGCCTCAGTCTACCCCTTGTGGAGCTTCTCCAAATTCTTCAATATTTCTTTGTGTGATAGATCTCTAGAGGCACCAGTTCAGTAACTGTTAAATAAACTGACATGAAAGGCAACTAAGTTTGTTGTTGTAACTTAACCAGTGATATTGTGTTTGTAAGGCAGCGTTGTCCAGTGGGTCAGTTTATTGTCAATGTTTAATGTCTCCTTTGACATAAGTATTGTTTATTATAATATTGTTCTTTAATTTGTGTCCAAATAAGGGAGGGTCATGATAATTTACCTGCAGCGATGGAAGCCAGACGCACGTAGTCAGAACCCCTTTCCTCTGGCTCATACGGGTAGCTCTCCACCAGGCTCAGTCCTGCAAATACAAAACATATAAAACAGATCAATAGTTGGTAAATATCACAAATGCATGAAAATAATGAAACAATAATCCTTTTTCTGATTTCATTATCTATTAAAAGGAAATAATATAACAGAATGAATAGAGTGACTAAGTGTGAATAAAGTTAAAGATTTTCTTTGGAAAACTTTTCTTTGTTTGTTCTCTTATCATTGGAACAGCAATGATAAGAGAACATCGGAACACTGAGCATCAATGTGAATCTTTCAAAAAATGTATTTAAAGTTGGCCAGTTCTTATCTTTATTTAGCTCAGAGACAAAATTTCTAAATATTTATTTTTTTAACAAAAATGTCTTTCCTAACGTAGCCTTAATAAAGAATAGCTCTTTGAATCAACCATAAAACATTTCAACAACATAAAAAAATGTATTTTTTTATACTGCATTTTTCACTTTTCAAAGATGATTACTCCTCTAATTTGTTGACTCCAGATTGTTTACTCACAATATCTCAGAGAGAATTTCAGCTGTGCTGCTTCCATCAACAGCTTAGTATATAAATGTTGGAGCTTGGCCTGTATTTCAGTTTAGTCCTGTTTCTCTGACTGTGACTAACTGGATGTGCTCTCTTTCATCCTCTGACATTGGAGCTAGCTCTGGCTGTGTGTTTCCTGGGTGTTTCTGTGGAGCTGGTTGACAGTTGCCTTTTTTTTTTATCTCTGCTTCTTTTGTGTCTGCTTCTGTCTCCTTGAACCCCAGTCGGCCTCAGCAGATGGCTGCTCACACTGCGCCTGGTCCTCCTGGAGGTTTCTTCCTGTAAAAAGGAAGATTTCCTCTCCACTGTCTCTACAAGCATGATTGGTGTAAGGGATTGCCTTCGAGTCAATGAGTCGATGCAATCAGCTGGTTTTTCTTAGATAGAAACCTTTGAATCAATTCGACTATAAAATCTGGTGGAATTGCCTCTGTAAAGTGCCTTGAAATGATATGTGTTATGAATTGGGGCGATTTAAATAAACAGAATTGATTATTTAGAAATAGAGAAGATGCAAGTTATTCATATGAATTAATATAACATTGATGGATCTTATCAATCGACTAACGATGAATTGATGGGCATCTGTTGCTCTTAAACCTGAGTTTTCTCTTAACCATAACAAGGGTGTCTTTCCATTATTCGAGGGGCAAAATTTTTTTCAATATGCTGAAAGAATTATTAATTAATTAATTAAATATGTCTAATTGCATTTAGACATATTTCATTAATATAACAAATCAGGAACCTATCATTCCTGTGTAAATTCTCAGCCATCCAGGTCATGGCAAATACAAAACAGGATTGAATCAGAGGAACCAGACTTTAGCTCAGTTTTTCTGAGGATGATTTAAGAACTTTCCGGGGGTCTTACTAGAGCAATCTAACATGATAGGAAAGCACACTTGGTGCAAGAAAAGCAACCCAATGCGCAAGAGTCAAAATATATTTTGTCAAGATGGTTAAAATAGTTCAGGAAAAAATCCCTAGAAAGCGCAAATCATGAACTGGAAGAGGCTGAAGCCAGAGGAGGAGTCACCATGAGCAAAACCAGGCTTGGGGCCCGAATTCCTAAGGGCCCAATAAAACTCCTTATACAAGTATGGTTAATACAGTTATTGGCTATTTGCCCTGATTAATTATGTTTTAATAAAAATTATTAACTAAAATGTCCTCAGGATGCTTCTTGTATTATGTGTGTTTTGTGGACCCTTCCCCTTCCATTTCCACTACATTAGTCTGCATGTGGGGAAAGGATCCTGGAAGGCAGCAGCAAAACATGACAAAAAATCAACCCAACAGGCAGGACCAGTGCAAAAAGGAGGAGAAAAGAGAAATAAGATGAAAAGAAGCCACCCCAGCGGTGCTGAAAAGAGGAGAAAAATACAGAAAAGCAGAAAGCTTCTCAAAGTTACCAAAAGCAACTACTTCCCAACTGTAGCAGCAGCTAACAGCAGAAGCATCAACCCACAACCGGCTGCAGGAAAAACGGATACTTGTTTGAGAGGGTCGCTAGGTAGGGATGGACATATTAATTACTATGTCATTGACCTAATGAAAGCTTATGTAAAGCTTATTTTGAAATAAGCTTCACATTTGATGTGTTTTTTCTACAGATGAGGAAAAACTCAGTTGGACCTGTCTGAATCTGTTTCATATACTTGTTGATTTGTGTGTGTCTCCTTATTTTAGAGGGCCTTGTACCTGCTTCCGCCTTGGGCCTTAAATTTATTTCTTAAACCCACCACTCGGTACAACATTGGACATGTATGCACATGTCGGAGAAACTTTTCCACCAGTCCAGTAAAAAAAAACACAGATGTGCAGCTCAAAGACTTGTTTTATCTGTACCTAAGCGTTACGATTTGTATTTGACTTCAATAGAACACACAATCCTGTCATCATCATGACTGAACTGTATTTTTCATGTGCTGAGAGTAAAAATGTCTCCTAAATGTTCAAGTTTGAATGTCAGCATCAGAGAAGAACAAAGAAGAGCTTGGAAATAAACACAAAAGTGATCAAATATAATGTATGTGGGCAGCACAAAAGGAATCAGAGCTTTAGTTTTACCTATTTTTGACATAATAATCACTCTTTTCTATTCAACGTAGAACCTGCTGTAGAGATGTGTGGAGGCGGTTGCCTTATCCATCTTTGGTGGCCAGCACACAATAATCCCAATAAAATACTCTACCAGCTGTCGCCCACTGTTCAACCATACATTTTCTGTGTGCTTATCTCACCGTGCAGCACAGACTGGTGAAGACTCCAGTAGATGCTCAGGCAGTTCTTCTCCCTTTTCATCCCTCGTTTACACTGGCAGCCATGCAGAGGGGTGGACAGCAGCGCCGTCATAGCGTTCTCACACTGGTTCCGCGCCCCAGGGCCCAGTTTCATGCTGCCATCTCCCGCCACGCACTGCCTGAGGGTGCGCAGTCGAGGGCTGCAGGTGTCATCGCTGGAGCAGGTGTCTCCAGCGCGCAGACAGTCCCTCCCGCCTGCAGAGAGGACTGCATGTGGGACTCCTGTAAGACAAAGCGGGAGGACCTGTTAGATGACAGGCACTCAAGCATCAGGAGGAAACTAACGAGATTTGTGTTTAGTACTAAAAAACTAAACTGTCTTGCAAAGCTTCTCACTCCCCTGAGACATTTTAATATTATACCTTTTTGGAATTAAACCTTCAATGTGTTTATGATTGGAGAGGATAGACCAACAAAAAGCAGCCCACGATTATAAAATGCAATCGAAAGGAGCTTGTCTATCAAAATTTTGTAAAACAAAAATCTGAGAAGGTGGCGAGCATTCGCTGTCAATCCTTTTATTTAAACCCCGAAATAAATTTAAGTACAAACGGCTGCTATCTGCAGCATTTATTAGTTCAACCTCTAACTTCATGCTCTCTCTGCTTTTTCTCAGTAGCTTCTTCTGCTCTAGTTAAGTTTGACTCTAACACCATCCTGGAGTGAAATAGCAGCTGGGCTGCTGCCATCAACACCTCCAATTATAGATGATAGAGTTGGATCTGTTTTTCAGTGCTTAGTCCTCTTTCTCTTCAAGACAAATCAATGGGCTCAGCTTATTCTGACTAACTTTATGCACTCTCCTCATTTTTGCCATAAAACAACCCATAACTCATCTCTGTAACTGTTTCTTTCCTAGACAGATCCCCTATGGAGCTAGTTTACTACTGCCTTTTCTAACATAGAATGCATTTATGGATCAGTGCTTCTATATTTCTTTTGTGTGTCTGTCTCCTTCTGATCAAATACTGTTACATCTCATTAAAGCATTTAAATTTCCATATATAAAAAAAGGAAGGGAATCGACCAGTCAGAGCAGAGGACGGGCTATATTGTGCATGAATTATTATGTGATATTAAACACACTTTGACACCACTGAGTGGAATCTGATGAAACTGTGGGGGTTAATGACACGTCTCAACCATACATCCTGGCATTCTTAGCACCAGACTATATCAGCTCCAGCCTAAACAAGGTGCCATGTTTGTTTCACAGAGGTGCATTAGAGGGATGTATCACTACACATTTAATGTCATCCATTTTCACAAGGCACTAATTATACGCAAAGATGGTTAAGTGTTTTTCCAATTTCAGACATCCAACACATTCATCACTAAAATGAGGTGTAATTTTCAGCTAGAAAATCAATAAAACAAAAATAAAAACAGGGTTATACAATAAGAAGTGTTGTATGACATAATCTTTTAAGATGTTCTGGGGGGAAAAAGTGCACCAGGGCAGTTATTTACTTCACTGTATTTGCTTGAGAACAGTTAAACTACAACACTTGGATTAGTTTATTCAAGCTATTATTGATCAGTTCACCAAAGGTCAAGCTAGCCTCCACAGGTACGGCTATGTCAAGCTAGTTTTAAGTAATCAAGCTTGTTGCATTTTTGAAGACTTCTTTAAGAGTCCCAGGACTCAATGACACATTCATTGATTTGGCAACAGGAATTAAATTGTGATTTTTTTTTCTTAGTTGAAAATATAATTTTTCTCAGATGAACAACTTTTTACTTAAAAATTAAGAGAGGAAGCCAATATGGTTGCAGGTTTATATCTTGAAGTTTTTTTTTTCTTTTTCTTATTGTCATTACACTGTCACAAGTGCAGAGGAACAAAATGAATTCTCTGCATTTAACCCATCCACTTGAGGAGCAGTGGGCTGCCATTGTGCAGCACCCGGGGAGCAGTGTGGGGGTCAAGGGTCTTTTGTTTAGGGACCCAGAGTTGCAGTTTGTGGGAGTGGGGCCCTATGCCCCAACTACTAGGTTAGGGCATAAAAACTGCCCTCCCCTCACCAGTTTATAGATTTAGATAACTTTTTCTCTAAGTATTTTTTTCCATTATTGAGAACACCATAGTACCAAAATACAGTGCTCTTTATATGTATTTAGACAGAAGCCTTTTAGTACGGTAGCTATCTATAAAGGACTAAAAACATTAATGTATAAAAAAAGACGAATGACAGCAGATTTCGATGCCAACATCGATATATCATGCATCTCTAGTATGTACACAATTTAAATTCTTTCTAGGCAACTATCCATCCAGAAAAAAATATGAAAAACTGAAAAGTACAAATATGAACACAATATTATTATTCGGAAACATCAAAACATCAAAACTATGATTGCTGATGGATGGATGGATGGATGGATGGATGGATGGATGGATGGATGGATGGATGGATGGATGGATGGATGGATGGATGGANGGACGGATGGATGGATGCCTGGATGGATGTTTTCCCTTTAAGCTGCATCAGTGATTATCCCCCTTCACAAGCAGCAAAGTCTAATTTAGAAATTCTTCCCACATATTGGCAGGTAAAGTCTATGTGTTGAAAGTTATATTCCAAAAATCATTTGTAGACTGATTTTTACTCTATTATTTTGCTTTGATTCTTGTAGATTTCTTATATTTCAATTTTAAGTCTGTCTCACCTATGAGACTGACTGTGCATCAGTATCTGCCTTGACTGGCACAACCAATTCTGATTCTTGCTGAATTACACAAGACAAAAAGATATGTTGAATTGAAATATAGCATTACATATTTTTTCTTGTAAACTCTCTGGTAAACTTGCAGATATATTTTATTGCATGTTGTATATCCCAGTAAATCTGTTTCACATTTAAATCTGCAGTTCTCCCTACTTGTGTCTGTCATTTGCTTAAAAACAGATTTATGAACATTCCTACTGATATGCAATGATGCCAAGGAATCTAATTTTCAAGACATCTAGAAGCTGCACTCTTATTCTGTTTAATAAAAAACAACAGGTATGTGCTGACATGATTTCCATGAGAAATATATTGGATTTTTTAGTAAACAAACATCCAGTTGCCTCCATTTTAAGACTGATTTGAGTTTGTCATTAATTTTTAAACATAAACAAAAAAACAATATCTTATTTCTGCTGTGAAGTTTATACTGTAAGGCTCTGCTTTCTGTGCATATAGTAACAAATGGTACCTTCCTAGCAGAACAATTCAACCTTTCTAAGGAGTCACCTATAGTTGGCTGTCAATAAAACTTTTGACAGACAATGAACTGAGAAGTTCATAGTGAGATCTTTGGTAGGTTTGTGAAATCTGTTGAAAGAAAATATCTGCCACTCATTTTGAGTGCTCACCTGTTTTAAGCACTTGACAGAAGAACTGATTGTGCTTCCCCTCTCCCTAAACTATTGACTTCACCTTTAGCAGCTAATTTTTCATGCAAACACATATAGAAAAATTAACTCCAAAAAGCTAAATAATGCCATTAATTTATCATGCAAATCAGCTCCACTGGTGAGTTCAACATGGATCAAGCGACTGAACCTTAAGATGCGGTTTCATCTCCAAATACCTTCTTCACTTTGAGAAGTCTCCATTAATGCAGATTCACATTGAAATTGCCTATTATTGCATTGTTATGATAGTTTCCTTTTCTTGTTTATTTTCTCTTGTACAAGTGGTTTGAACTGCAGGTGGGAAAACACGTGTGGGTGGTATGTGTTGGTGTTCTCACGCTGGAAGTAGAGCTGAAACAGCCACCTCAAAGCATGATTCGGCTTTACCCATTTCCAAAAATGACTAGGGAAAAAAAGGACCCCTTGAGCCCCAACAGTGCAAATCACATTAAATTGCAACTAATCCAGTGTGGAGAGGTTTGATATTTATGCTGAAATTTAAGAAGCACTTCAGATTGCAGGAGATATGCTGTTTGCCTAGAAACAGAGCTGCATCACCCCAGCAGTTCAAAGACAGACAGTCAAAACCAATTAAGAGGAATCAGTTGCCCTGTCATTCAAATTTGTTCCATCCTATGTGCCTGACTGTTTATCATACTGCGATAAATAATTTGTTTTTTGCTTCTGCTCTCTCAGGTTTTTCTGTTTCCTCTGCACACAATCAAATCATTCTTTTTTTTCTCCCCACATATCATCTCCTGCTGAAAACACATCTGGGATTATTTAAGGAGCAGACCTTGAAAGGAGATAGAGTTTTAAAGAGATGCCAGAATAAAACAAAATAATAAAGAAAAGGTAAAACTAAAGTGTATTCAGAAACGTCCTATACCAGAGTCAGTCTGAACAATGACTGATAAATTTAATTAATATTTAATGAATAATAAATACACAGTAGGAACTATAAAGCCAGTTCACATGAGCAGGTTAGGCGTATTTTGAGGATTGTATGTATCATGAATCACAGCTGCCTCGCAGCAAGAAGGTTGCAGGTACGATTCCCAGCCAGGTGTCTTCTGCATGGAGTTTGCATGTTCCCTGAGCATGCATGGGTTCTCTCCGGGTACTCTGGCTTCCTCTCACAGTCCAAAAACATGCCAATTAGCTTAATTGGCTTCTCTAAACCCTCCTAAGTTGTGAGTGTGTGTGTGAATGGTTGTTTGTCCTGTTTATCTCTGTGTTGCCCTGCGATGGACTGGGGACCTGTCCAGGGTGTAGCCCACCTCTCGCCCGTAGACAGCTGGAGATAGGCACCAGCCCCCCTCGTGACCCTGATTGGGATAAGCGCGATGGAAAATGTCTGAAGCAGAAGAACCAGAATAATTCTGGGCAGTATAGGCTTTGTATTGAACAGTTATGGTTTAACATGGTTCACCAAATTTCCATGTTCACTTAAATTACTTTATTTCAATGAAATGCCAAAGCTAGTACCTAAATGTTCAGACTTTTCTTATATAGGAGCACCACGCTCATAGGGACAAAAGTTGATTTTAGCCTACAGAAACAGGTTCGCTCCGAGTATAAAAAATTCTACAGGAGAATAAAAAAGCAAGAGAGAGCAGAGAAGGAGCACGAACTCATGGTCGTGACTTTTTGTTGGCCTCTTGTTGAATCTGCATGCATCAAAATTTTGAAATATGAATGGAGATCAGTTCACATGAGTGTGTTTTAATTAAAACTGCTTGTATGGGTATTTACTTTTGCCAGAATATAGACCTCATATCTGCAGTTCATTCAGAAAGAGAAATATTTTCAATAGAT